TAAGGCGTGAGTTTAGAGCGCGGGTGGCGACGCGAATTCACGAGCGACGGGGAGGGTTGCTGTTTCCCCCGCCGCGAGTGCACGCGTGTGTGGATAACGCGCTCACGAGTTCGAATCGGGACGTCGCAATTAACGTCTACAAATGAAATTTCTTTTCGAGACAGAGTCGTGCAGCTCCGATCCACAATTTATATGCTAAAAGAACATGCTGTAAAATAAATAATTTCATATTACGTTGTGTTCTTTTGATTTCCGAAGAGAGGCAATAATTAGATTCATAGTTGAGATAAGTGTAACTTTAGGGTGGAAAATCTTCTTGTCAGTATATCAGGAAAAGTTTGGGGAGTTTTTGAAAATTGTTGAAAAAACAAACCTATAGTTGTGTAATATATAATAATATACAGAGGATCGTTTTCACCAAAATTCAGAATCTTGGCTAAAAATTCACTTTCAGACCGCCACGGCGATTTACGCCGCACATTCGGATTTCTCCCGTGAATACGTCTCGCGATGTGAATCCGTGTGTGTGTGTGTGTGTGTGTGTGTGTATATGTGTGCACGGAAAAAATTACCCAGGAGACTGCCGTTCGCGAGATTTACGAGCACGCGAGTCGCACTTCACGTGACGGAAGAGACACTCACGGGGACGCGTGCTGCTGTTCGCGAGTCTCTGCGTTTTTTCTCAGTCTCAAGCTCGTCCGCGCATCGGTGAAATCGCGCGGTGTAAGCGTGCCTTAACGTGAACTTCTAACAACAATTCCGCCCGCGGGTCACGGGGAAAGAGAGAGCGAAAACGAGACTTATGCAAATTTTTGCTCGCTCGCCGGCCGCTCGCTCAACCTTTCCGTGTCGCGTAACTTCGCGCGAGGATACCGCGCGGCGATGACGATTTCAGTCGCCGTGTTCACCGCAGAGAGAAACCTCACCGCGACACGCGGAGAGAAAGAAAAAGTCAAGAGAAGAGAAGAAGATCCGCCACGCGCGATTTTCTCATTTGACGATCGCGCGGGACGCGAATCTGCCCGTCGGCGACGGACGCGTGTCGCGCGCGATTGCGTCACGAGAGCGTGAGGTACGCAGAAATCGCGGAGGAAAAAAAAGGAAAGAGCGGGAAATTTAATTCATGCAAAGTGTTAAGCGTGCCGGATACGTCGCTCGCGTTCACGCATGAGCGAATAAGAAAGGTATTGATGTGTAACACGAGTGATCGTGAGGATTAATTCATCAGCGAGCGATCAGAATTATCGCTTTTATCGCGATATTACATCGGGAATTCCTGGGCGCGGAATATTTTCGATCGAGTTACGTTTCCAATTAACGCAGCCCGAAGGGGGTGGTTACTACAGAATTTGACGTTAACGGTTGATCGGGTTTCGTGATTTGAAAAACACGGAGAGAAAGAGAGGGATAGAGAGAGAGAGAGAGAACGCACACCGCGTGGTCGCATAGGACTGAAATATTAACGGACATACGTAATCGCGGAGCGTAAAACGCGCACGAGTCGCTCTAATAACGCCTGAGATTGATTCCTCGTGCGTTCTCGCGATGACCGGAAGTTTGAGCCGCCCATGAAGGGGATGGAGGGCGCGCTCGCGCTTCGCGGAAGATCGCCATTAGCGCTTCACGGCTATTTTGAGTTCTATTAATATCTCTGAAATCAAGCGAAGCGCCACGACTTCTCCTTGCCGAGCCCATGTATGACCTAATCGTGATCGATGCGTATGCACAGAGTGATGCGGAGAAAACTGATTCAAAGTAGCGTGCGTGCGCGTCTCGGACTCTGGATCCTCGTGACAGACGATTTCTCCGGCGAACGAAATCAACATTTCGAAGCTATCCGGGAAAATACGTTTCAAGAGTCCCAAAAGGTCCACGCAAAGTTTTATGCTAATTTAACGCAAGGTGAATATGTTGAAAAATGACACAAATATTATATAAAAAATCGACACAAAATTGAAATCCGTAATATGTTAATTGATATACTGAGAAGTATAATGTGTGCTATTTTAACAGTTGCAAGTGTTACTTCAACATTTATACATGTTGAATATCGAATCGACACAAAATATTAAGATATAAACACAATATGTTAAATTAATATGTGAGTATATTAAAAATTTAACACTAAAATTTTAACCCTTAGCTAACACACGTCAAAATAATAATGTACGTGCTATAGGAGGTATTTTGGACCCCAGCGAGAAAAAATGTGTATAATTGTTTTATTTATCAATATTGGGTCAAGCCTCGACTAATACTAGGTAACGCCACAGAACCAAATTTGGCGCGCAGCTATGAAAAATTTGCGTTCAAAAACACTCTGGGGTACTTTTAACCCCGTGTGTCAGCTAAGGGTTAATAACGACCGATTTTCACACAAGTATAAACTTCTTTTATTTTGTATCATTATTATTATCTGTGGTTTTTGTCATACTCGGAGAAAAAAGGGGTTTATTTAATATAAACGAAATAATTTAATATCAAATATCATTTTTTGTTTTAAGGAAAATGTTACTTCTTTAAAATAAGTCATGTTGCTTGATGGAAAAAGTAATATTATTTAAAGAAAATAGTATTAATTTTTTAAGTTAATAAAAAATTATTGCATTATATATTAAATATAAATGTTTCGCTAAAACAAAGAAGTCCTTTAATATTCTTCGAACATAGTGTTACTTCTTCCGAATAATTTACTGTCTATGACAACCATTGTAATATTTGGCTAAGAATACAAAAGAAACATGTTATTTGACATAAAAATATTCATTGTTCGAGTAACGAAACAATTCTGCTTGTTGAATCAAACATTCGTTTGCTCCATTCGAAAATACAAATTCGTCTCAATTAATGAAATTTTATCAAACCCGAAAAATCACCTCTCCATAGGAGGCGCCCAGCCCGCCTCGGTCGTAAAACGTTCGAGCGAGAGCGAGTATCGAGGAGAGATTAAGCAATCGCAGGGCTGATCACCGTGTCAGCCGGCGGAATTTAATCGTCTCGATCGTTGAGAAAAATTTATAGCGAATCCTAGATATATTTGCCGCGCGATGAGAATTGTCTGGCCTTTCGGGCAGGTACCGCCCGGCACGTTCGCGCGAGGTGGTAATTAACGCCGACTGTTAACGACTGCATTGTCACGCTCGGCAGTGAAGCGCCGAGGATGTGGTAGCGAGGAGGACGATATTTGTCCGGTGTCGCAATCACGCGCACCAGGAAGCTCCTCTCTCGCTCGCGGCGTCAACATTTTCTATGCGAATCGATTGCGCAAGAAATCCCGCGGAATGTCGCGCGGTGAATCCGATAGTGGCGGATTCCTTCGCTTTTCGCCGGACGGACTTTTGCCCGTTTCGCGCTCCGAAATCGCTCCCTTTACTTCCTCTTTCCCATCAGCCGAGAATGTGCCAAGTGTTCTCGGTTGCCGGTGCGACACGTAATATCATTCGCGACCGAAATTCGAATACTGCCGACGGCAGGCTGCAATCGGCGGCGCGGTCGCGCGATTACAAGGCCGCCGTCCGTTTGAAGCCGAGGCTCAGCCTCACTCCGGTGTGGATTACAGGCGGCGCTTGAAACAATACACCGCCGATATATATATTGCACTCGGTGCCGTGACGCCTATCGCCTGTGTATGCAACATTATATAATGTTCCCCCGGCGGCAGATAACGCGAATATTAGTGATCTCATTATACCGCCCGCTCAAGGAAACGAAACTTTATGCGACGGAACGGGCGAGAAAGAGCGATGTATTGCTCTTCCGCTCACTCGCTCGACGGGCTCACGGACGTGCGTTGTTTTCACCGTTATCGCAATCCGGCTCTCTTTTTGCGAGGAAGAATAGAGAAAAAGAAAGAGAGAGAGAGAGAGAGAGATTTTTAAATACCATCGAAAAGAGTAGCGTACGTCGTTAATACGAAGGCAGAAGCGGCGGTACCATACAGGCGAGAGAGCGCCGCGAGTATTCCCGTCATGTCGAGGAACACGCGGTCCTTGGTAAATATTCATGATGTATACATGTAACGCTAACTCGGCGAGGGAGGAGAAGGTGAAGCAGGCCGGGCAGGTGAGTCTTCCTGCATGCGAAGGCGTCCGCTACGTGATAGACTCCGTGGCTGCACGATGGCAGCACGATACAGACACACCGTGCGTCGAACAACGATGCACACACACATACACACACGCACGTACGCCGGAGGTGACGTGCGTGTGACATTGTTTTTTTTCCCCCTTTTTTTGTTCACTGGTTGCAAAGCGGCTTAGATGTGACGAAGTTGAGAGCGCGGCAAACTGTCGCGATTGAGAATCACCACCGACGAGCCCGCCGAAGAGGCAGTAGAGGAGTGTGGGAATAAATTTAATAGATTTTTCAAACATTCGGCAGCGGAGCACGGATTTTGTAATGTTATGAATATACAGGGTACCCCAGTATAAGAAGAACACTTGAATATCTCTCTTGTTGTCGATGATACGAGGAGTGTTAAAAATAAAAAAAGAAAGACCGTAAAAAGACATTTTCCTTCCACGGTACTCCTCCTTCGAAACTGTTAAAATTGTGCTCTAAATGCTTCTACTTTTACTCTATTTCTCGTATCATTCATTAAAACCAAAGGAGATATTCTCCTTTATGCTGGGACGCCCTGTGCAATTCAAATTTTCGCGCGAAAATCAGAAAGATCTATGGCGGGAATGTATAAATAATTAAAAATAAATTTACTCATGACGTAAGACAACGTGTCAATACATTCGAGAATATCCTAGGTTTAACCGCGGCAATATTGGGGCTCGAGGAATTGGAAGATCTTCCATACAATTGGAAAAAGGATCAAAATAAAAGCCGAGATGAAAACGACTTCTTCTCGGTGACCCGAGATTGCTGCGCTCCCAACTTCATTGTGTCGAAACCGTCTTGCAAGCAAGTGTTCATTCCTCTTCTTATTTCGGTCGTGCTTAATTTAAGCGACGACACGCGGCACGAGGGAATCCAATTAGTTTTCTACTCACCGTCGGACGACATCGCCAAGGGTAGGAGATCACCGGCAGCCTTCAGCTGATCGAACTTCTCTATCAGCAGGAGCATTCTGTAAATGGAGGAACGCGTGAGTGCGTTACGTAAACCGCGTCGCATGCCCGGATATCTCTCCTTTTTTATAATTTCATCCGCGCGCAATCGATTATATTTCACGACGAAGCGAGGCCTCTCGCCTCCTCGCGATTCAATCACGAATTAGAAAAGCCATGAAATTCTCTATGCCGGCTGGGGGGGAATCGCTTTCTCCCCATTTCACTTACTTGGCTTGCGGCACATTGTGCTTTCTTTGCAAATCGACGCGTAATCGCTCGCCGACGTGACGGTAAATGTCCGCCAACGTGTTCAAGGCGGTCTCCCGGACCTTCTCCGAAGGATCGGACAGCAACTTCACGATGCTCGGTATCACTCCTGACAAAGCCATCTCGTCCGCCCCGTGTCTGGAAGAAGATTCAAACGTTCCGTATACATACCGCATAATAAAAAACATTTCGCGCCTGTGTCAAAATCGGTTCTCGTTTACGTTTTCAACATATCCGTGTGTTGATACAATGCATTATGTTTAGGTTATTTCAACACTTTGCGCTATATTGATATGTAAAAAAGTGAAAATAACATATTTTTGCCTCGGTGTCGATTAACATATTAACATATTTAATTTTATGTTCATTTTTAACATATGATATATTTGTGTTACTTTTCAACATATTCACCTTGGGTTAAATTAACTCAAATTCTTGTGTGAACCGTTTGAAACACATGAAAGATGCGTTAAATATAACACGACATTTCTTATTGCGTATCACAGAGCCAGTTTCAAACGAATAAACTCTCAGATCGCTTACTCGTTCAGCGTCGTCGTCAGCAGGATCAGCGCCTCCTCTCGTAACTTCGCATTCTTATGATTGAAGGCCGGGCGTAGTCGGTCCAGAAGATTCTGGGGCGACATGCAACCCTTCTCCATAATCTTCAGCAGCACCAGCTGCGCCTTTTCTCTGGTAGCATCCTTGCTGTCACCTGCGAACACGCGAAAAACGCGAGTTCAAAATCTTGTTGCTTCTCCCGGACCGGCTGAAAATAGCGATGAAAGCGGCCGTTCGTGAGGGCGATATCGTCGAATCGCGCGTACGCGCGCGAAATTCATGCCCGGACGGTTGAAAGCGATCGGCGAACCGGTTCTGGACAAATATGGTGTACATCTGTCATAGACTTCAACCTCATTAAAGGCGTTTAAACTTCATTCCGGCTCGTTCTATTTAGGGCTCATTTAGCGATTAACGATGATTCAGTCGATACGAGGCGACGCGAGGCTCACCTTAGCTCGACACGTGAGTCTCAAGATGGTGCAACTTTCTAAATAATACTCGGGTGTCGAGATCACATTATTATGCAGCCGCAACACACAACGGGCTTTGTGTCATGCGCGGAAAAAATATTTCCAAGCGAGCGGGAGAAGTTTTCGTCGACAGCGCATCACGGTCACGATCGTTAACAATTATAGAGATCAGAGAGAGTTGGTTAAGAGTTGGAAGAATATATATTTTTGTGACATATACCTCGATTTTCTCATTCATTGGTTTATTTACTAGGAATACAATTTCATTCATTTAAGTAAACGTTGATTTCTGTGAAATAAACCTTATATTTCGCAAGTGAATTTTTAAGTCTATTTCTCAGCGTACGCTGGCGCATCGCGAAATGATCGATTGTCATAAATAAGAATAGGAACTTTGCCGGGTCGCGTATCGCGCCGGCCGGTTCCTCCTCGAGGACGATTTGCGCGGCAAATGGAAGCGAACTCGCCGATACTCACCTAGCCTGTCTATCGTCGGCTGAATAATGGTAGAGATGTAAGGCTTGAAATCGTGGCCCATCCGGTCCGCGAGATACGTGAGGATCTCCAAACCGTTCTGAACGACCTGCAACAAGAAATACGTGCGTCCTTTGAATTTATGGCGCATATCGGCGACGATTACAGCGGCCGATGATTGTCCTCCTTCGGTTCGCGTCGCTTTCGCACGATCGCGGCGCACCAAGGCGATCGGGGTCTATCGGGTAATTTGCTGAGCACAGAAGGTGTTTATACGGATCGCCATTACGAGATATATTAATTGACACGTCCAACTACGGCGAAAAAGGTTGGCTAATAATAGAAGCCGGCCGAGACGACGCGCCTCGGCGACGATCTCGCGCTGTGTACTTCGCGCGTCCTTCGTCTTTCACTTCAAAAACTCCATGCTGAGAAACCCATTTAGCTGAACAACATTCTCGTTTGAATGCGGGCGAACAAATGTTTTGGTCGTGAGAATCAAAATTTGCTTCTCCGAGCCGAAGATTTAGTTTCCTGAACCAAATGTTTGATCCTTCGAAGTAAACCTTTTTTATTTTCATTTCAAAAAACCAGATCTTGGGTTCGGAGGAGTAAACTTTGGTTTTCGCAATCAAAACATTTGTTCGGTCATATTCAAGCAAGAATTTTGTTCGACCAATTAAATAGGTTTCCCAGTGCATGCTGTCGTATGTCGAGAAGGAAACTATTTCCGACGCTCATATATTATATTACCACATTTTATATGACCTTATATTTTATATGCCTTTAGCTGTCGCCATTTTATCTCGCATTATCGCCATCCGATATCTCTCTCTCTCTCTCGATTTCATGCCACGTTTAATTTCGTCGATCGATACGGGAGAAACTAAGGGAATGTATTGCTGGAAGGATGTCGGCTGTCCCTCGGAACAAAACTTTTGGCAATTTATCCAACGAACGAATCCCTCTTTCCAGTCATCACAGCCATTGGCTGTAACGCGAGCGGCGGTGAGATGAGGATGGAGGGAAGAACCGGGCCTAAGAGATCGTAATATAACATCGCTCATACTCGCGCGATGTTGACATCCTCCACTCCGCGGAAGATGCAGTATATCGATCCGGAGGGAAAGACGAAGCTCTCCATCATCGTCGTCGTCGGCCTCTTCGAGTCGGAAAATCGCACCCTCGCGCATCGCCTCTTATTCGTTAGTATGCTTCACCTGCGAGCCCCGCCAGACGGAGTGCACTCGTGATTTTACAAGCGAAGTGCGGCGCGTTGTTGTCTGTTGTCGTCGACTTTGTTCCCTTTGTTTCAATCAAAGGAAGCGCGGAATCAACCAAGCTCGAGGACCTGGTTGACTTCCCGAGACCGACTATTGTGCGCTTACACACGTTTTTTAATGCCCGCTAAATGAGCGCGAGAAATAATTACACGGTGATTACGGTGCAGGTTGTAATTAAGTAACGCGAGCCACAGCAAGGCCTAACGGTGATGCAATTTTAATCGTCTTAATTAACTTCTCGTAATATTTAACATCTGCGATTAAGTGTAGAAGCGCACCACCACCGCCGGACAATGCGTGTGAATGGGGTATTTTTTGGAACGTTGGTAAATTGAATTTGTCGCGAATGGAGTTGGTGTGTGCGTATAAACATACATCATGCACACACACACACGCGCGCGCGCGCCACTGGCAAAAGCGCTCAATGCAGCGCGACGTTTAGATACATTTAACGAAGTGCTATACATAGACATATAAACCTATTTTCGAGCCACGGGGTAAACGTTCTCTCAGGGCTATCGTCTGGCTGTGACATCATTGCTCAGTACCGAGAGTTTTTGCTTTTCCCTTTAGCTACGCTCCTGCGCCATTATCTCTTCAGCTTCTTCTCGGGGAAAAAAGAACGCGTGCACTTCTATAATCCGCCTACGATCCCCGTATTTACCAGTGACTTCCACGTTACACTACCATTATCGTGTTATATTGCCGATACGCGTTAACAGCTCGATAAAATCTGCCCGCGGCGTCGACGCGACTTCTACAAGCGTGAATGTTGAGGGAGACGCCTTATTTGCGATAATTATTCCACTTTCGTGCATCAATATTAATATCTCATATTAAGGTGGTTGCGTTAGCGAAACGAGCTTGATAAGAATCCGAAGATAAAACTTGCACTACGCACGAGAAAAAGTAATTTTGCCGGCATGGCAAATTGTTAGTTACTATAAAGGTAAAGATTGGAGGATATGTAGACGGCAAAATAATTTAGTTAGTATAACCAAATTATATACTTGTGTATAACCTGCGTGCGCACCACAAGTGTACGCGTATGGATCGGACAGTGTCGAAAGAGGTTATAAAACCTATATATATATAAAATCAAATTATTTTGCTGTCTATATATCGATATTTTTTATATATATTCCTTGAGATCAGTGTTATTTTTTAAATTTATATTTTAAGTTTTAATCTCCATTTTCAACACTTTTTAAATTAAAAATAAAGTTTTGATGAAAAACTACTATAATAGAAGATTGAAGACTAATATGCAGACATTAATTAGACAAATTAGAATTATTGGCCATTTGATTTTGAAAACACAGCGGTGTAAAATTCATGATTTATAATAATAATATTCGAAATAAATATACATATGCATATATTACAATATTTATACATCTCTATCTTATCTTATCTATGCACGTCTGTTAGATCAACTGATGCATAGATATAGCATTAATAAGAAAAATAAAAAATAATATCTTCATACTTGTAATATCGTGTACGTACGTCAATCTCAACTTTTAAAATTAACACTCCTTATTTAAACAAGTGAAGTAAATGCAGAAACATAATTTTTCTTGATAGATACTGAATTTACGAGTCGTCCCCTCGACGCGTCGGTAAAAATACGTTGCTAAGTCCAACAATCACCTTAACTCAACATGAAATTATTCACGTGCGTTGAATATAGCGGAACGTACAGGCGAAATGTCCTATGAAAGATCCCAACGACTTAGTTCCGATCGAAAGGCACCGAGAAAGGAAACTCAAACGCACACGCACGTTCGAGCGGAAACACACGCGAATCATGTGAACCCCAGTACGCACGCGTGGGCAAGAGAGAACTCTGGCCTTACTTGTCAAACTTGGGTGCAGAGTCCGTTAAAACCGTCGTTAGAGCGCTCTACGTGGGAGGCGAAGCGCTCGCGGCGCGCATCGCGCGGTGCAGCCACGCGGCGTGTGCAGATCCGCCACGTGGTCGCCGCGGCAATGACGGCCCCCGTTAAATCCGTGAAAATTCGGAACGCGTATTTTCGGGCGGGCGGGTTATATCGGGCATCAAACATCTCGCCGAACTCCATCTTGGCAATTCGACAGAAAACCGGACAGCGGAAGCGGGACGACGATTGCGAAAGCGAGTGGTGTCGCCCGGGAAATCGAGTCGAATCCTCGTTAGATCGTCGACGATTGTTGTTTCTCACTTCTCTTTTCAGAGCGCGTTGACACGAGAGAGTCCAATTATGTCGGGCTAACGGCAGTGACTCGGGCCGCCTCCTGTAATCGCTGCGATTAAAAGAACCGCACGGGCAACCGCGATTGTTCCTACCGATAAAAAAGAAACGTGCGCCTCATTTCTGTTTTTTTTTCCTCCCTTACTTTTTATTTCACTTTATTCCCTTCCAACATGTGGCGACAAGTTCACTGGCGCACGTTGCGAGCGCGGCTCTGCGAAAGCGAAGAACGCACAATTTCACCGAGCCACCCCCCGGTCGCAATTTGCAACGGACTATATTTGGCGACCCGTGCGAGCATCCGACAGTTATCTCTCGCCCGTGTTGAAGCCGACGGTTGTGCTTCAATACGCGAGATAAAACGATGCTCGATAATATCGGTTCGCTCTCGTTTCATTTGCGGCAATTTCGGCGGCGGCGGTGCGCTCGGCGCTTGTTTAGACGCCGGTAAGACTCTGAGTCGCGAGGAGACGCGGAGGGTTCGCGTGCGGAATTCATGGGAGACCTGGGAGATACCGGTTCGATTCACGGGGTACCGCACGTGTTATCAAGCGAGTGAGTTATGCGGTATGCGACATTCGTGTAAGAATGACGCGGCCGAGATAGCGGCAAACTTAACGTGTCGTAATTGGGTAGATCTTGACTCGTGGAGAAGTGAAACGAGCCGGCCGGGAGAACCGCTCTCGCGGGACGGATTCGACGATGACATATCGCGATTTTCCGGTTTTCGATCCCGCGCGAAACTGGAATGCCCGCGACATTAGCATACTCCCCCCCCCTGGTCTCCCCGTGGTCGCAAGTCGACAACGCTCGGTCGCGGGAAGAAGTATACCGTGTTACGAAGTCGCGCGTTAGCGCGGACAACGTTATGCAAGAGTGATAAAACGCGCGCGCGCGCTCGCGATATGATGACGTATGTAAAAAGCATCGAGGCTGATGTCATACTTTAAATCCTGAAAAGGAAACATCCGCGGCGCGGAAAAAAGGCGAGTAGAGCGCGCGATGGACGACGCAAAGCACGCGCCGGCGGCGCGTTGATTCGCGTTGTCCTGCGTCCTTGACATCGATACGCTCGCATTCGTGCCGAATGCGAAAAATCGTGCAGTCCATATCGTATCCGTAAGAAGAGAACATTGTTAAGTCCAATTACGCGCGAGGATTCGCGACGAAAGGCGATCCGACGACGAGAAGTGTAACTTTTTTTTCTCTCTCTCTCTCTCTCTCTCTCTCTGTAGCGCGCTTTGTACTACTGTTTATCTTTCTGTATTTCACGCCTCCGCGTGTAGCATGATAGACAGATAGATATAGGGAAGCAACGCGTCTCATTCATCTCGCTCGCTCGACCGTCCGTCAAAACGAACGCAGAATACGGAGAACTTTTCCGAAGAAAAAAGATGAATCGGAGATGCAGAGGGCAAGCGAGAGAGATACTAATAATTATTAGAACGCGGAAAATATATATTAGGTTGATGCAGAAGACTTGTCCCATTAAAGCACTGAATAAACATCGATATGAACGAAGCACACGTTAGTACGAAATACTCCTGAACATAACTCTATCGGGTTCTTAATCATTTTCTACGTAATATTGTTACAACTAATGAGAATGCATTAATATTAAACAGTAACTGGATGGACATCTAGAAAAACTGCATATATTTCTACCAGGGTTTCACAGACCTGTATTCTATAGGAAGGTATTTCTACATCAACCTGATATTTCATAAAATAAGAATGAAGCAAACTATATGTTGCGAATCGATCCGTTCTCTTCCGCGAGATCGAAACGGAAATTAAGTCTCGCGCTAATTATACATGATAGTCGCACAGAAAGAAAAAACTACTCTTAAATCAAGAATAGATATTCTCATATATAAACAAGAATATTGTAATCTTCTCAGAAGATTTTTAGTTTTGATTCGATCAAATTTGTATATTTGTTGCAAATATTACTTGAACTCGATTCAAGACTAAAAATCTTCTAAGAATATTATAATATTCTTGTATATACATGAAAATATCTACCTTGATTAAAGATCAATTTTCTTTTCTGTGCGGAGAGTAAGAAATTTCGTATCTCGGCCATCAAAAATCGTTAGGAAAATGAAGCCTTTGTTGAAGCATTTGTTGAGGATTAAGAACGGAATGCAATCTGCGCAATGAACGGTGCATATTCATTAAAGAACGACCGATCGAGAAAGAAGCTCTTTCAGGGACGTATTTCCTATTATCCCGAGAGACGTACAATGGACAACCCGTCAGAATACGCAACGGACAGCTGAAAACCCGGATTTAACGGCACGCTCGTGTTTTTAATGTCGCGTTTCTTATTCCTCCGCCCGAAAGGTGAAAACGCGTGCCACTTGCAAGTCAATAATAACGGGCGATGGCAACAAGTGGCGTCGGATGATCACATTCACGACGATTCCCGTTCGAAATTTCAAGCGCCGCAATTAAGCGACACACGCTTCCGCCACCGTTCATAGCTCGATCGCTTTATCGAGTCTCTCGATTGCCGACGAGTTTTATACATGCTTAACGACACGTCGCAAAACGCGATGTACGAAACGCCGTTAACGAAGTCATTGGAAAAAGCACAGGGAGTTTGCTGATTAAATTGAGAAAGTATGTTTTTAAGGAGGGAAGCAAATCAATCGTTGCGTCACGTTACGTCATTTGTATCGGATATATATATATCGCAATGGCGACTCGAATTTGTATCTTTGAGTGCGAATCGTTACCGGTATCGCTCTGAAAGTGCAGAAAGACGCTGGAAGTAAATAAATGGAAGGAAATGGAGAGGTGACGCGTACGATAATAAAAAGTCACGCTAAGAATAGCAATGAACGTACAACGTACGAAGAAGCAGCGCACACGAGTGTGATTTCGTCGAGGTGTACGTCTCTCTCTCTCTCTCTCCCTCCTTCTCTCTTTCTGTGTATATTCGCGTGACCGTGTGTATCGTGTGCACGTGCGCGTAAAGGAAGGATAAGAATATCAAACACGAGAAAGAGAGAAAGAGAGAGAGAGAAATATCATGCATAATGCAGGGTCCTAAATTTTGGTCGAAACTTGGCTTGTTTAACTATTTGTTGTACTCGCGAGAACGCGAGCCTCGCGCATTCCTGCAGCGGACGTGGTCGGAGAATGACGTAAGACGATCTACCGGCGAAATTCAGTTGGTGACAATTTTTTCGGAGCTCACACGTGAGTGTATCAATTACATATACGGGAATTGCGAGCCGACGTAACTCGATAATCCAGGTATAACGCGGTGAAAAATTCCCAAGCAAGAATTTGCGCTGTGCAATCGCGGCTCGAAGGAAAGAGCGACGAAATATTGCCAAAAGAGAATTTTAGAAAAAACTTTGACAATTAAGTATTGTTTCGTCAAACGTATTTACGAAGCGTGTTGTAATGCTTATTGGTAAAAAAAAAAAAAAAAAAAAAAGNTTTAGATCGTCGAGATAATTCGGACATATAATTAGATACATAAAAATGCAACGCTGCGATGAGTCATTCGCCACCGCCCAAGTGACAATGATTTCTTTCGCCCACTCGCCTCCGAACAGAGATTTTGCCACATGATATATGGCGGATCTTTCTACCAGAGAATGTTTCGGATGATACTAATTCGTAAACGTTCATCGTTAGAAAATCATCGTTAGAAACTATACAGAAATAAGTCGATTCAATAATTACTCCGATACTCATCATAGAAAATTTTTAACTTATATCAAATAATATTCAGTTGATCCAAGTATAAAATATTTTCCAAATAAATTATCCAAGTAAGATATTTACTTGATTCAAGCAATATTTACTTAATCCAAATAAAAATTTGCTAAAAAGTAACTATTGGAGTAGTCGTTTACTTGGATTTAGCACTTTTTCCTGCACTGCGGAAAAGTATTTAAAAATTTATTTGTAAAATATAAGGTTTATTTGATAGAAATAAAAATGTTATATCCCAGAAATAAACCTTATATCCCCTATAAATAAATTTCCCACGAGTATTTTTTTCTCAGTGTGTGTAACGTCACCCAGTAAATTTATCGCTTTGCAAATATCGCGAGAGAAAAACGATCGATCTCTTCGGTATAACGCGCTCGAATTGGTTAAACCTTTAGTTTTCATTTGGAATTTCATCTTCAGCGGAATATATTTCCGTGCAAATATTGAGAAACGACATGCGGGATTTTCGCGGCGACCGATCGCAGGAATTATGCGCGAAGCGAAGCGCGAATTTCACGAAATCACTGTCGCCGAGAGCGTACCTGATGGTTTCAATCCCGCGGGGAAGTTTCGAACCGCTCCTCTCCATTAAACTGTCACTGCGAGTGCCGCGCATTTACCGCGGAAGTCTCAAAAATTCTCGTCCCGGACATGTCGTTCTCATCTACGCTCAATGAACATTACCGAAGAACATTTAGCGTCTTAATGGCTCCGATTAAACGACGTCATTCCGACGTTTGGCGGCGCGATAGCGAAGAACACGTTTATACGTACATGGCGTGAAAGTTTTTTTCCCCTTATTCGTAAGTGAACCCAACCCCGTGATTCTTCGATATCGAAATCAACGGTTACGCGCTGCGGAGGATGTCAAATCCGTATCTCGTATTCAGATCACTTTTGTTCAGCGTGAAATCGAAGTGAAACCCCTTTAAAAGCTTGTTAGGTTTTAAGTCTCAACATCTTCAAGCAAATGGCGCGCCTCGTTAATCCATTTGATCGCGACTGTTCTTCCTGGAAGGTTTGTTCGTCGAGAAATAAACGGTTCTCTATTTAATTCGACGGAATATCAGGGACGTAGGAGTAGCTCAATCGGCAACAATAACATGTCATAAACTCGATTGCTCGATCGCCCGATGCAGATTGAGCAATTTAAAGGTCGCACCGGCGAACTCCCGGTCGTATCCTTTGCCAAAGAGGATCTCGAAATATCCTCACGGTATATCACGATCCTCCAAAGTGCAGCGTTCTGCGTTCCCCAAGACGCGGTCGTAAGAAAAAAGAAAAAAAGAAAAAAAAAGAGAAAAACATCCAGCGCGCGATGATGAACGGAGTGACGAGAGAGAAAGTTTTAACAATAACGATGAGAGATGGCTATCTGCGCGCCTAGATTAAATTTGAAAGCGGAGCGAAGTGGCTAATCGTATAAAAATGCAACATCTAAATTTACAACCAACGAGGTCGCCCATTCGAATGTTAAAGGTTAAACACCAAACGTATGAATATCATCCGATCGGGCGCAATGAGAACCTCTGGGCTGCACGCACGCACGCACGCACGCATACACACACACACACACGCGCACGCGAGATACCCGAGTTTGTCACTCGACACACCCCGGACCGTAACTTCGCGATCGGACGAAATTAGGACCGAGACGTAATGAATGTGAAAAACAAAGTATAAGAGGATGGAGATATATACACTGAAACAAAGTACTACTAAGTTCAAGTAGTATTTACTTGTTCCAAGTAAAATAGTTACTCCAATACTTCTTGGCAAATAATGTACTATATAGTAGTCAGAAATATAATTGACTATGTACAACATAATATTGCCCTCATATAAATAGATATTTACTTGCATGTGTTGAAACAATTACGACAAGTATTAAATTCATAATATTGAGGATACCAGAATTTATTTTTAATAAATATTTACTCAATAGGAAGGTTTAAATTTAAACCACTAGGTTTCTTCAAAAGAAGTATTGCACAATTTTAGTAAATACTCTTTTAAATTTAGAACCGTTCTACACCTACATTCAATGATTAATTTATAAGATAAGATGTTACCGCCTTCAAATAAATATTTGCTACGAACCATTAAAATATATTTAAATCGATAAAAATATTATTTGATTTGAAAGGCTAAAAAACAGTTTTAATTACGACAGACTACGTTCACTTGATCCTAGCACTTCTTTTTTCTGTGTACAAATAAGATATGGGTAGCCGAAAAGTCTCCGACAATAAAAAATAAACGACGCGAAGATTGCTCTTAAAAGATTGTTCACATCGCGCGCGTCATTAGCTTCGTGATTGCCGGCACGTACTTAGCTAAGACGCGACGTCGCGACAATGATCTCCCGTATGGATCGGCGAATGTATACATGCGGATAAGCGAATCTTTGAAGCCGACAGCTGCGTCTAACGCTAAATGCAATCTGTCATATTAACTTGTAATCGGGGCGCGCCTTCGAGTTTTCAAACAGTGCCATTTAATCGTTTTAATCTACGATTACTTCGAATATAGTCCTTCATATAGAGAGAGAGAGAGAGAGAGAGAGAGATTAAACGGATAAAAGTACAAGACTATCGCATTTTTAAGGAATCGGAGCATTTTCACGGGGAAGCGTCGGAGAGAGGGAAAACTTCGCTCGCGAAATGGTAAACAACGCATTTTTCCCATAATAATAACACGATTAGCCAGGGCCGCTCGGCTATAAAATATATATTTGCGACGCGTTTCTCCGATCCTTTCACCGTTCTTATGAAACTTTTATTGACATCGGCGCTAATAACCGGCCGCTTTTTCGCGCGCGCGCGTCACCCTGTGCGCTACGCACCGCCTGCTGCTCCCGTTTCCGAGGCAGAGGTGAAAATAAGGGCGGTCGCGTTCTCACGTGCGGACGGCGACGAAAAGCGGCTGCGTTTTAAGGAGCGCACCGAAGGCGGCGACTGATCAATCGTCTCCTTTCTCCATTTATGGACCGTCGTGTGCGTGCTCGACGAGGAGACCGCAGAATCGACGTCGTCGTTAACGTCGGTTAACGTTAAGGGCGAGTCGGCCGCGAGATAACCGCATCTCCGCACCGCGGAGTGACGCGTACGACGAAGAAGCGGCCCGGTATCGACGTATCGTCACGGACACCACTGACCGCGGAAAAACAAATGTCACGTCCGCTGTCAACAAAACGCTCTTGGCAGGCGCGATTTCTTGAAATAACAGCGTCCTTTATCATCTCGACTCAATCGAGCTCCCTCGTCGGCGAAAACAGAGGCGAGACCGGACCGCTGCTATTTTCCACGCAGACCGAAGCCCGGGTTTCGAGCTCTCAGTTGAGCTTGCTCGAGATTTTCACACCAATAACGTTCAATGACAACGAAAACAAATGCGTACGAGATAAACGACGATGGCCGGGGCGGGAGGCTGTTGGAAAAGTAGGCGAAAAAATTCGGGGAGAAAGGTTAAGTGCGCGCGTCTCGCCCGAGATCGTCGTCGGGGTTCTGTCACTCACCTTGGGGTTGCCGTTGCCGAGCCACGGTATGACGTTGTCGATGAACATGCCGATGTCCTGACACTCGATGCTCCTCCCGGAGTCGCCGAGATAGTTCAACAACGCGCTGCCGACGTTCAATTTCTTCTTGATGTCCGTCGTTGACAGGAGCGGCATGAAGCCGTCCATATCACGCGGATTCACCGCCATGGTGGATGGCTAAACGCACGTCCCCGTCACCACCGTCCTCCTCCTCGCCGTCGCGATCGTCGTAGTCGTCGTCGTCGCCGCTTCCCCGCGGCAGAGCTTCCGCGCGACCGTCGATCGGTACCAAGGACGATGTGTTGCCGGTTGAGGGTTGTTCACTCGCGCACGTCGTCAACACACATACTCCGTCATCGCGGCGATGCTTGCGATGCTTGCGCGCGGAAACGTGTACCTCCTCTCGTCGGTCTCCGTCATGCCAATGACAAGAGCGTTCTCGCGACGGAAAACAGACTCGCACGAGACGGTCAGCGCGGTACTGTTCGCCGCGATTCAGTCGTCGTTACGACCGTCGTCGTCTCCGTCGTCGGCGCCGCCGCCGCCGCTCGTTGTAACGTCCGTACGCGGCGCGACCGCTACGCTCGTCACTCGCACGATCCCCCGGAACGTCCGAACGTCACACACACTGTACGCGCAAACGAACGCGCGGTCAGCACTCGTCCTAGCCGTCGCCCCGTTACCACACGTCGCAAACCGTGACCACCCGATCAAACACGGCGAAACGAGATCATCGGCACCGTGCACGCGACGCCATTTTGGTTTCGTGTGTCGAGGAGGCGCTCGCTCGCCGAGTGCGCTCGTGCGCCGCCGCTCGCAGCGCTGCCTCAGCGGTCGCCGTCGCAACCACGCGGAAACCGTGCGCGGCGACGCCGTTGAAAAAACGGTTTGAATCGCGCAGCGTTATATTGTTGTCGGGTTTCGGGCCGCGACTATTGACTTTGTCCTTCCGAGCGGCTGAGTTTTGGGCATACCGATTGCGGGTGTACTCGCGACGTTCGTCAGCTTTTCACGATCGAGCGCGCTTCTTCACGCCGACCATCCGGGAAATTCCAGAAACGACGCCGTCATGGCGGCCCAGTGACCAGAGTCGGCGGTTCAAATTTGAATCGGACGACGAGGTGAGTCAAGAGACTTTCGAACGATTCACCGAGACGATCACTCGTGAGTCGTACGACATCGTGAGAAAATATGGCATTTGTTATCGGCTTGGTTCTGCAAAACAAGACTACAAGAATTCGTCGATCGGCGAAGTCGCTGGTTCAATAATCGCGAAATTGGAAATTCGAATTCAAACGGTCGGGCGCAATGGCGGATGGCGAGTCGCATACGCTATAACACGTTTCATTCTTCTCGGCGTATATTTTCGTAATGAGGTTTTAATGGGGATAATAGTATATACATAGTTACATTCACATATACAATATTAGGTATGTACAATATCATTTGTTTCACCGTTATCGTTATCATCCCATTGTTGTCGGATCGTGTCGACGATGGACGTACGGCGGACGAAAAATAATTTCCTGAACGTACGCAAGTACGCGATAACGCTGTGATTATGAATGTGTGTGTGTGTAATTTCGACGAACAATTTTCATTGCCCCGAAGCTCGTACACTTTCGTGATAGTAGAATGGAAGAATCGCGCGTCTACGGGTCTCCTACTCTCGAGTAGCCTAAATTCACAGTAGCCTAAATTCACAGGGAGAGCTAAGGGCGTGTGTGTGTGTGTGTGTGTATGTGTGTGTGGTGGCACTACGTTCCCTTTGTGAAGGTACAATTCGTGAGAATTCGGTAGAATCGTCCATTAAGCAAGTAACGTAGCGGCCTTACGATCAACCCTCTTTTTACAGTGTGTCCTTGAGCAACGATAAGAATAAATTATTCGAATCAGCAGATGCGTATTTAAACAGCATTTTGTACATGTACAGATTCCGGCTGACGCGTTCATATCCTTACACTTAGCGTCGTTAAATGTGGAATACAAACGCGGGAGCACATCTTGAAGAGTTACGTTACCAAAAAGTGGCGATAATAGCCTATATATACGCGCGTACAGGCCGGGATATCTTTAAGAAAACATGATACTTCCGAATAATTGATATTTATCTCGCTTTTACAGCCTCGGCGATTAAACCGCGTTTACATACGCAACATACGCAGATGATACCTTCATTTTCTTCCAGCGCGTCACAATCATGTTAATCGTAAAATAATCTCCATTAGAAAATATAATTGCCACCGTTGTCCTCGTGTAAAAATTGACACACGCCGTATGAAAAGTGTCGTCAATTAACGTCGATTACAGAAAATCACGTTGAAAATAAATAGGATTTCTATATACGCGTGTGTGTGTATATATATACACACACATGTATAACTTATAATTTAAATATATGTGTATATATTACTCTTTATAAATAGCATATTGCATGCACTCTTTGCACTAAAATATTCATCGACGATTGGACAATCCAACTGAATGTCTAAGATCGCTAAGAGCTATATCACAATGTGTGGCAATAAAAATGATTGGAGCTAGATCACTTATCTTACTTGTCTCGAATATCGCGGAATCTGTTCGAGTGTGCACGAACGCAATCCTCCGATCTATTATTATCACGAGCGAATACAACATATTGGACTGTCCAGACCTGCCTGTTCAAGATAATTTGTGTTCGCAAATCGCACTTCTCGCTTGTCGTGCGATCGGCGACTATAAGGTACTTCGTCGATAGACACGTGATGTCTCTATCGCACACAGTTGGAGCGAAAAAATATTGAATAATATCTGACTGAACCTGGCAGGTATGTGTGTATGCGCGCGCGCGCGCGTGTATGTGTGTGTGTATGTGGAACGCTATTGTATATGTTATCGCTCATATAAGCTTCGTAAAAGCTTCGTGTATGAAGCATGCCGTGTCAAAGCTGCGAAATCCACGATCTGTACCCAAAATATTCTGTCAAAATATCCGATCATTCGTCCTTCATAACGCGCGTGATTAACGTGAATGATTACACTCGAGTTAAAATTCTACCTCAGCACTTCCGACGTTAACAGTACATTTTGCATGCAGATCTGCGTAGGTTTAAAGTCGCACCTTTTTTTCCCTTTTTATCGCTACGTTTATGTACACGTCGTTCCGCGACTTTTTTGAGAGAATCTGACTATCGACATCTCATAATTGGCATCTCGTAACTCTCTATAGAATTCCTTCCCTTACTGAATACCTCGTGCCTCGCGGATAATTCAATAGACAAGAGGTGATCCTTATCGTAACTGATCGTCTTGGAACGTGGTGGTGAACGCAACCCCGTTATGGTTCGTCTATTTCGATCGTTTGATATCTCGCTGTGGTAGCACGATAGTCTACCGTAATAATAGTTTCTTAAACGCTCTCCGAGAGACTTCAATGTGATAGCAGTCGCGTATAAAGGCAAGCAAAAAATAGAGTCAATGCAACTCGGGATAAATTTATGTACGACTATCTAAGGTTAAACTACATAATCTCTCTTAGAATTAACTACATATTGCTTTCTTAGCGAATGATGTTTCGATAGTTTACCAAATGCTAAGTATTAGAAAGATTTTATAGAATAGGTTCGAAAACGCGTGCCCTCCCCCCTCCCTTCCCCAAGCGTCAATCTAAGATAATCTCATATAAGCGTATTCACGAAAACGTCGTTAGGCTTCTTATAGTGTCCGTAAGGAGCCCGTGGGACACTTCTTTTTTTCTCTTTTTTCTTTTTTTAACGCGAAATTCCTAAATCAACTAAAAGTCTCTAACCGATTGTATCTCTACACAAATGTATATGTAAATCGTTTCATTAACAAACAGAGTAACTTGATACCGAATAAGACGCCCGAATACAATAATATTCCAGGACCGATCGAACGATTGCCCCCGAAAACGCGGTCTTTTGCTCTTCGTTCCTACACATCGCACGATAAAAAAATCTACAAAGTCATAAGAACGACGAATAGAAACGTATGGTAGCGTCGTACGAAAACAAATTGCTATGTGCTCGATACCTCAAACGGAAAGGATGTGCCTTAATTTTACGTTATAATTTTATAACGATCTTGAACACTTTCTATTGTTGAATCCTCGCCGCTCGGTCGCGCAAGTTCTATCTCGATAAGGCTATTGCTGTTGCTGCAGCTGTTGCAACAATGGACACACCTCGACTAAAGGAGTACCCAGGATCTCTTGGCATACTTGGTTCATGTCCGGCTCCATCATGAGCGAGGAGATTTGATCTTCCGTTAGCATTTCCACGCTAATTGACCACAATGAATATTCGTTAATAAAGAACAAACCCGATAGATCGCATCATCGAAGAAAATAAGTCAGGGACTCACCTAGCTAAGCTTTCGCTGTCCGACGTCTCCTCGTCGGCATTGAGATAGCTCATCGTTTTCTCCAACGGACTAGGGACTTTCTTTCCTTTACTTTCCGACTTCTCGGACTTTTCAGACTTCTCCTTTTCTCTCTCCGCTGCCTTTGGTTCACTGGAACGTCGTTCCGTCAAGCTGGATATGTTTAGCATCATCATACCGTGATTGAGTAATTCCTTGACGCGTTCTCCCGTACCACCGCCCCACAACATGTCGAGAGATTGTCTTCTACTTGAATTCGCTGAAACGATAATGTATTTATGCACGGGAACATGTTCGCGCGAAATGAGTAGAAAAGTCTTCATATAAAGGTCGCACTTATTACTTACTGGAACTACCACCACTGGCCTCACCGCCAGCTGAACTCCTAGTTATCCAACTGGCTAAGCTACCGTCGAGCTTGCCTCTGTTCTTCACCGATGGACTTCTCGTAACCTCAGCCTTCTTCTCTTCGCTCAAAGTGACTTCGTTTACTTTCGATATCGTGGGTAAGGATTTTTGAGTGACTAGTCTTTTTCGATTGGGCTGCTCTTTCAATGGCTCGACGGTCGCGTTGATCGGTTGAGCAGTCTCTGGGCTCAGGTCCATCGGTAGCGGCTTGTACGGAATCTGATCGTCCTCGTCAGAATACACGTCATTGTTGTAGTAAACCTCATCCGGTGAGTTATTCAGACTGATCTCCGTCCACTCCTCCCCATTTTGAGCCGCGGTGTTGCTCTTTCTATCGTTCACCGGCGACTGGATTTTCACTCTCTTCTCTATGGGAGAAATGATTCCCGACAGATCGGCCAGGCCTGGTGCAGAAGAGCTCGTGTGATTTAAAGGTACGATATGTTTCGAGTCGGTCGCCGCGATACTCCGTGGACGGTCACGTTTTATGTATTTACGTGGCTCGGTGGATGAGAGATTCAGGTTGTTTAGGCCCAGGTATTCCGACGATGAGTCTCTGTCAATCTGAGAGGAAGAGGCGCGTGTAACTAACTTGGAAAACGGGAATCATCCAGTACGGAAGATCGGCACTTACTTTCGTAGGCATAGGACACGGCACACTCGGACTTATTTTGTCAGGAAGGCGTAAGTACTCGTCGCTGGTGTAATCCGTACTGTCTGGGGATCCAGTCACGCTAGAATCCGTCGGGGTCGCCGTATTGGTCGGTGCGGTGGAGTGATCGCCCGCATCTCGTGCGTTCTTGTCATAGTCATCCGTGCCGTCGTATCTTCTCGTCTGCCGGCAAAAACGCAATGAGAATTTTATACACAGCACTCTGTGAATCACCATGCTTTCTCGCGTAAGCACGTAATCGCCTATACCCTGTGAATCTCGTCGCTGATCTTTTCAAGGTTTCGCAGTGCTTCCGCGTACGTCATTTTCGCCTCGCCGACTGATCTCTCCAACGCACTGACTTTCATCTTCTGCTCCTCCAGCATTTGATTGAAATGTGCTTTCATTTCATAGTAAGGCCTGTGTTAATTATATAATGTCTTATTAAGTATGGACTGCGTGAACAGTGTATATGAGCCGTTTATTTTAAAAATGATACACAAGCCTAATTAAAAAAAAAAAGGAATTTGATATTTAGATACCATGTTTACAAATCAATGTGAACTAATTTGGTAATAAAGATTTTGCTTTACCAAAAAATGGACACATACAACCTGAAGAAACGGCTCATATGTATTTGCATTCTTTGATTATTCGAGTATTTGTTGTATTTATACTTTTAATCATACGCTATATGCATGACAATTTAAATCACCTATCACATAGCAATTGAATTGAAAGCGATTTGGTAAAAAAAAGGAAAAGAACAAACCCTGTATGCACAATGAAGTGCATTTTTTTGTGTGAAAAGCTCAAACAAAAAATTAGCAGGTTACATGTTTCAAGATATTTTTATGTAATTCATGCACAGGGTGATGGTTCAAAAAATAAAAGAACAAAGAGCTAATTCGGTATGGCACACATAACAAAAATTGTGTGAGAAAAAATAAAAAAGAATATCTATCCTACTTACAACATGAGCAAGTTGTGCCTGTAGGCGATACTGTTTATCAGAAGCAAGCTGCGACGTGCACCCATACTGCCAACATGAACATATAACCAAAACACATAAATACCATAAGGACTATAGAAAATAACTTAACGGACTAATCATCCAAAAAGTAACTCGGTATCCGGACTGAAGGGGAAATATAAAATATGTCGATAGCGAATGAGGGAGGAGAAAAGTAATAAAAGACATTTTGTTATATAAACAGTCGTCATGTGTTTCGAGAACATTAACTTGGTTGTATACAAGGTTCTAGTTCATCAAAGTGGCTTGTATTAATGAACTAATATGCGATAACTTCATGCATATGACAGAACCATCAGGGAAATAGGTAATCCTCGAAATCTGTTAACGGGGCAGTCGCGAGCCTCTTACATACCTAGATTTGGCAATAGTGCGTTTCAATTCGCGTTGTAATCTCTGAACTTCGTGCTCCGCTTTGTGATACAATGCGGTCGTATGCCTGTGCTCTGCCTCGGAGAGAGCTCTCTCATGCTCCGACTCGTTGACTCGTGATGTAGCATGATTCAACATTTCCTATGAGACGTTCCGCCACGTAACGCTTGTGTATAATTTTAAGTGACAATAAGGCCCCCACATTCACGGGTTTTACCTGCCAAGCATGATCGAAACATCTCCCTTCGGTTCGTAATCCTTCCTCCGCTAGGTACACCATTTCTTTGGCCGCCGCATGTTGACTGTTGGCTCTCTCGAATCTGATCGCAGCCTTCTGCGTTTCTTGTAGTGCCTGTGAAGAATGATGATTTTCATGTTATCTCGAATCCTCGTCAGAAGTATGACAGTTGTTATCAAGTTGTTGAAGCAAGACTTACTTCTTTCGCCTTAAACCTAGCATCGTAATATGGTCTGGACTTTTCGATGCAAGCTCCAAGTTTCTTAGCTAAAGTGTCAATCTTGATTGTTGATTCGCACAGTAATTCCCTGAAGGTTGCCCTTGCCTCCTGAAGATGATAGAATGATTAGCACGGTAACTTTTCTTTAAATGAAATGTAAATGCGTGACACACGAAGCTCTATGATTCCTTGTATAAACTGCAATCTCAAGTTATACATTATTTCTTTAGTTGAGACTGTCACAGACTGTCGTTAAGATCATCGTCTCAAGTCATTATCCATTTGCATGTATCTCACACACAGCAATCGTCCCAATAAAATCTAATCGCTATCAGACTCAAAACTTGCCAGCAATTTTGTTCCTCTAGCATCGCATTCATATATCACAATATAGAATCTAGACAGGCTAATCCAGGCTTTTACAAAGTACAAGGTCAGGCTTAGTGAAAGGAGCTACTCACATCTAAATCAACCTCTAGTTTGTTGATGTCATCAGTAGCTGTATTCAATCTCTCAAGTTCAATCTGAAACAATGGAAGGTACATTATTTTTTTTAATGGCATGTATCAATTGTCGGCATATTGTATACGATGGAGAAAAAAGTCTTAATCCGACAAACGACACTTTGCATATTCATTCAGAGATATAAATAATAAAATCGTTTATTTATATTTACACGCAAACTGGCAGGGTTTCATGATAAATTACTGTAACAACAACTTGTGACACAGTGCTCGGTACCGGGCAACGAGGGTAATTTAGTACGCGTGGTAATGGGCACTCGGTCGCACGGGTGGGAAGAAGGGGACAGAAGAGGGGGGGGGGAGATAAGAATCGGGGACGTTTTACGACTCGTGGATGGGCGGGGGAGTGAAGAGAAGGGGGAGATAAGAAACGTTCAGCAACGTGCGGAAAATGGAGCAACCGTTGCATCCGAAATCCGTCACCGGAGCGCGTTTTCCCTCCGATCCGCGCACGATTCCATTCTCGCGACCACCTTTTTATCCACCACAACGAAATGTCAATATCGCGAGGAGACACCGCGCGAGGTGCCGAGGCACGTCACGTCACGGCCGATGCACAGGGGCAACGCTTCTCACCTGCACTCGCGGGTCCACTGCATCGTCGACGCGGTCGTAATCATCGGCACTCTCTTTCTGCACACGTCCACTCATAATTAAATCTAAAGGGAGGATTTTTATTTACAGCTCTTCATGCCACCTGTGTGTATCGTCTGCTACATATCAGGTGGCCATGTTGGACGTCAAGGCATCTATAGTGCCAGCAGCGAGCAGGAGCGTCGTCACTCGCTCGGGTCGAGGGGCGTCAGATGCTCCGTGCGCTTTTTTTTTTCTCGCGAGAACTTCCTCTCGGAGCGGGGAATGTTATCCGTGAGGTCGCACGATAATAGAATCGATCTGCGGATTTGCAGCTACGATCCAAGATTCACTCGGACGAACCGAGACAATTCTCAATTTTCTTCGTTCTGTCGTTAAAATATATTCCGTTATAAAATAAGCAGAGTCTCGGATTTTTGACATCACAACAGATACTTGCGAGTACATTTCCCTCGTAAATATTATGAGACTCGATTGTCGCTTCAGTCGTATCTTCGCATTTTCCGACAGAATTTTCTCCATTCGTTCTTTCTATTTAGAGAGAATCTCTGATACTTTGAGGACATCTGGATACAGGCGAATTTTTATTATTTGTTCTCAGCAAGCAATGCTCTTTATTAATCTGTCGATATCGATTGAGATATATTCTGTCTAGATTTCCTGGTCGCGGTTTGAAATTTGCCGCCGACAGCACGGGCGCAGCGACCATCGAAGATGGCGGCGGTAAGAGCGCGTTGTCGGAGGGCGTTGCGCGCGCCAAGCCCGCCTGAACTCTCAAACGTACTTTTACATTCGCACTGGTTGGTCGTGTGTTGCCGGAGCAGGTGGATTACGTTCTTCTGGGGAAAGCGGCGGCCCGTGCAGGAACGTCAATCACCGGGCAGCGCATAATAATTGGCCGGTAAGTGAAAACGCCGCGTTACACGCGCGCGTCGCACTTTTGGGCTCGCTCCGGAAACAAAATGGAAAGGAGTCGCCAAATTTTCCGCCGAATACCCGCGCGCGCTCTGAACGAGATGGAAAAGATCTTTCGGAATACCTCGTACGCGCGCGCGCGCGCGCACAGCTTGAACTTTCTATTTCGGCATTTTTACGAAGGAGCGAGCGAAGGAATGAACGAGCGAGCGAGCGATAGAAGGACGCGACTAACGCGGAGATAACACGCAAAGGTCGCAGAAATCGCGCTGCTTCGAGCCGCTTCGTCACAGGATGCCCCGTTGCGGAAGGATAACGCGTTCATACGTGCGTGTGTACGTACGTATGCATGTATGTGTGTCCTCGCTCGCGACGACGACCGGTCACTCGGTGTCACACTCGCTCCGTTCGATGACACCGAGGCCAATTCGCCTTTATCGCGCTTATTTTCCTTTCTCGTCTCCGGGGAGCGAGACTGCAACGATATCGCGCACAGGAAGTTTCCGATTTTCCGGTCGCCCAGTCACTCGCACGCACGCACGTTCGCTCGCTCGCTCACTCATTTCCAAGATTCCCATTCCGTCCGGTTTACAGTCGCTCAATTTATTTCTCACGAGTTTGTGTACTCGGCGACCGTGTGTTTACGTCGCATCATATGTGCGCGTGCTCACGCCGTGTTTTTGCCCGCGCGACAAGCAGGATGAAGCGGCCCGAGTAATTCGGACGGTCGTTAGAAAGTAGCGGAGAGGCACGACCGGAGAGAGAGAGAGAGACGACCGATCCGGTCGAATGAAGGGCCGGGACGCGTATTAATTGTAAACAATGTACACGGCCTCGCGCGAGCGGCTTGTATTTCTCCGAGCGTAGTGCACGGTGAATTGACTCAAGGACTCGCCGGCGCGAAAACGCGCCGTGCGCGACTACCCACCTTCAAATGTCAGAAGCACTTTTACCGCGCGAGCGAGCGAGAGAGCGAGCGTTTTTCCCTCCTCCTCCTTTCGACCGAAACGGGATTTTCGCGAGTTTCACGATGCACGATCATCGACGGCGCTCGTAAACACGTTCAGGCGCTCCCGGCGAGTAATTCTCCCGTCGGATGTTACTCGAGCGATTAGATTAGAAAGCTCGAGTCGCCGTTTCGCGTATTTGGTGGCGCCCCTTGTGCCGGAAGAATTCACGTTTCGCCGTGCGAAACACGCGCCTGCTCTTCCTCCTGCGCGTCCTTCGATACTAAGTCCTTCTGGAACGTAGTGCGCATACATACATACATATACACACGCATGCCCGCGAGTAATGCGTATAATTTCACTCGCTCATGCTCATCGGCCATGTCGTAATTCGACGTTTCCCTGAAATTCCTGCGAAATTCCTCGCAATGAAGCGTCACCTGCACGGGGGGGAGGGGAGGGGGGGAGATGCAAGGTCACGGAGACCCGCGAGACGAGACATCGTTAAATTCTTTCACACTTCGCGGACGGATTCGCGTAACTTACGACAGTAACGGAATCCTGCTGGTTACGGTATTTGAGCGTGTCGCGCGCGACTCGACCAGCCGCCGCTAATCACCGTCGCCCGATCCGTCGTGTTCGTCGATTGATTAATCCAAGGGACTTTCAATTAGCCGACGGATTAATCCGTCACCCAGTGTGTGGGGAAATGAGTAACGCTCGGCGCATGTTGCGCTCTCGGCCTGGGCGGCGTTCGCGTGCACGCAACTGCTCGCAGGTCCTCGCCGACGGCGCTGACAAAAGCGACCGGTTTAATGGCTAAGCGAATCGCATTTTAAAGAGTCACCCGGTGCACAAGCGGCGGAAGACGCATTGATGCGAGCGAGAGAGAGAGAGAGGAGCAGCCGGTGCGTGGCTCGCAGGCTCGAACCTGCCGTTCCGACAGGACTTGACGGACTTCACGTCTCGGCAACTATGCGAGTTACTCCGCCGTTCCCTTAACCGTGTATCTTTACGTGTTTTATCGCTTTTCTCAGATAATTCATGCATGGCCGCTCTAATCGGGATCATTTTAAACGAGCGGTGTCACGGACGAAAACGACGCTCGTCTCATCGGGAGGACGAAATTGTCATGTACAATGAAAAATAAAGTAAAGAAAACTGTAGATAGACTGTAGATAAACTGTAGAACAACATGAAATGAAATGACATAAAATAGTATCTCATTTACGTACGCGTCTCGGCGACGAATGAAGGACGCATTGACATCTACGATGTGAAGTAAAGTGCGATTATATATAATGATACAAACTAGCTGGTGTTTTCCTTCGACTTGACATTCGAATTTCGAAGATTCGAAGCATCAAAATTATGAGACTTTTAAACCATACGCAATATCTGTGGCAAACTTCGCCTTACCGAAATTCGAATTTCCTTCGAAGCGTCGGAATTGTCGAAGATGAACAGCCTTAATATAATAGACAACACGAAGTTGTGAGTGAAATATGAAGTAAAATAGTATCTCATTTGCGTGTGCTCATTCGCGTCTCGGCGGTGAATAAAGCGATAACGATCTCGAAGCAGGCTGCACTTGCATGCAGGACCCGTCGCGCGTTCCGTCATGGACAAAGTAGATAGGTACGCGAGCCACCCGGTATAGACGAAAGTAGCAATTTGTTAAAGAAACGAAAAGAGCGCGGAAACACCGTCATCGTGGCAAACAGTCGGTAATTACTTTTTAGATGGCGAAAACAATTTGCATTTTTGAGCGTTATCGCGCGATAATGTCGCAAACGGCGCGTTCTGTACGGATTCTGAGTACATTCCGATTGTGCGTGTCGGCCGACTACGTCTATTAGTTACGACGCGACTTTGTGCTGCGTGAATGCAGTAGGAAACCGGCGATATCGCGAAGGAACGGTCGACTGTTGTTTTCACGTCGCTTTGTCTCTATATTCCGGTGCTATTCGCGTAGAATGCGGGCTCCGTACTGTACTGTGAAGTGTCATTAGCCCTGAACGAGTGACACGGGGCGTGACAGAATGTCCACAATGTCACTTTGTTTTTAAATACGATGTGTATCGGTTCGAGCCGCAAGTAACTTCCGAATAAGCGAGTGTGAAGTGATTTTCTAGAATCGTCAATGCGGAAGAAATCATTAATATACTCATAAATGTCCATTAGATAAGATTGAATTGTTAAATGATGACGAACTTTTTTCTCAAGAGACAACTTTATGAGAAAAATCCAATTTAAAAGAAGAGAAAGAAAAAGTTGCCTGTCTCTTTTCCTTATTAGAATCGACAGTAAAACATTTTTCGTCTGTGATAGAATTTTAGAGAGCCATGCAAGTTCCGTAAAATGTTAATTTTATTGACGTCCACTTTCGCGATAGAATTCTCATCGATTTATTCCACCGGGATTTTGGTCTGTTACTTTCGCGTAAGGAAGGGTATACTTACTCTCCGGGGAACGACTCGCACCTGTTAGAGTTACCAGGAATCTCGCAGCTGCGTTACTTAACACAGACATCGGTCTCTTCGGTTTTAACGTGAAATGTTGCGAGGAAATATATTTGCGGTAATCTTACTTCGACTACCTCGATAATCTTACTTACAAAAATTAATAACGCCCGCGTCTACCCGAGCGACGATCTCACGTAATGCGGTGACTTCGGGAAAGACGTTTTTCACTCGCACGTCAGACATTTCTGTTAACGAGCAGCTATCGGGATTTTGGAAATTCCGGAAATCTCTGTCGCTACGTTCCGTTTCGACGGAAACCGGAGATAACGATAAAGTGAAAATCTCCCTGCGTGGACTTATCGAAATGTTGAGTGAAAAAGAACTTGGATACGGTATATCAGTCATTAGCCTCGTTAGTCAACGCCTCCTAAAACTCGGTGCACGAAGACACGTGATCCAGTGCGTGACGCGTTAAAACCCCGTCGTCAAAGCACTCTGATAATATTCTATCTCATACGCCCGTACATGACTCGCACGTGTGTGTAACGTGGTGCATACGGCTGCGGATAGATGGGTCACCCGGTACATGGCGAAATGTCGACCTTCTGTCGTGCGACGGTACAATGCAGGCGCACGAAAATGCGGGCGCAAAAGAGATCCTCGCGACGGTCAAGAGCACGGTCGAGGGGAGATCAGCTGGCCACCTGGAAACCTTTTGTCGGTTAACCGGGGTGTTTCACGGTATCGCCAACGGTATCGATTGCAAGATCGGTAGGATCGAATTTACACGGGAACTGGTCGAGATTCGAGCGGAATTCGTAGAAATGTGATTCGCCGTTGCGAATCGATGACTCGCGGATTCGACGCCGATCGGAAGACGTGATTTATAGTCTCGCGTGCTCGTCTCCGTCGCGACGTCGAGCGGATTTTGATTTCGGTAAGACGACTCGTGAATTATCGACCTCGCGTATACATTATTTATGAGTCCAATTAGCGGGAACGGGCGTGTGTTCAGGTCCGACGGGTGCGCCGTGAGACGGCCGATGTATCGCTCCAGCGGATAAAACGCCCGTGAAACACGCCACGTAATGTCGAGATCGGCAATCGGCATCGCCCGCCAAACGCGTTTTATCTCGACGATTAACGTCTGACTTGCATTCCTCGCATTCGTCTTCCACGAAACTCGCGTGCAGAAAGAATTCGCCGTCTCGTCCGTCGTAACGAACCGTCGAACTTCTCAACGCCTCACGACGACGCGTGTGAATTTTTACCTCGACGCGAACAGATAAATGTTATTAAGTAATATTCAGTTTTCCGCTGCAACACCGACTTTCAACGCGGAAAGAAAAAGAATGAGCTCCCGCGGCTAAAACTAGCTGTCCGCGTGGAAAAACAGTTTGGTTGAATTTAACAGACGATGAAACGAACCAAACGCGTTTTGGTTGGAGGAAACCAAATTTCTGGCTATGAACCGAATTTGGATCATAAGACATTCCGTTTTCTTTCAAGCAAAACACGTTTGGTTCGTTCACTGTCTGATGAATTCAACGAAACTTTTCGTGCATGATACAACT